TCTAGTCCAACTCCCCTGCTGAAGCAGGATTGCCTAGAGCTTGTCAGAGCATGTTACTCAGGAGCATCCAGGTGGGTCTTGAAAATCTCCAAGGAAGGGGACTCCACACCCTCCCTGGGCAGCCTCTTCCAGGGCTCTGCCACCCTCACTGTGAAGAAGTTTCTCCTCATATTTGAGTGGAACCTCTTCTGTTCCAACTTGTGCCCGTTGCCCCTTGTCCTCTCACTGGGAACCACTGAAAAGAGTCTGGCTCCCTCCTCCTTCAACCCTCCCTTGAGATACTTGTCAGCATTGATCAGATCCCCCCTCAGCCTTCTCTTCTCCAGACTAAAGAGTCCCAGCTCTCTCAGCCTTTCCTCATAAGGGAGATGCTCAGGCCTCATCTCTGTTGCCCTTCGCTGGACTCTTTCTCAGTTCCCTGTCCCTCTTGAACTGGGGAGCCCAGAACTGGACACAGTACTCCAGTTGTGGCCTCCCCAGTGCAGAGCAGAGGGGGAGAATGACCTCCCTTGACCTGCTGGCCACACTCTTCCCTACGCAGCCCAGGATTCCATTGGCCTCTTGGCCACAAGAGCACACTGTTTACTCGTTGTCATTTTGCTGTCCACCAGGACCCCTAGATCTTTCTCTTCAGAAGTTGCCTCCAGCAGGTCCATGCCTAACTTGTATTGGTGCCTGACATTTTTCTTCCCCAGGTGCAGGACCCTACACTTTTCCCTGTTGAACCTCATGAGGTTCTTCTGTGCCCAGCCCTCCAGCCTGTCCAAGTCCTGCTGGATGGCAGCACGGACCTCTGGGGTGTCAGCCACCCCTCCCATGGAGAGGGTTTACACTGTAGCTTTGCTCCATGAGATTTGCTCTGTTTTGATCTGTTACAGCCAACTGCTTTCTGCAGAAGTGTGGTGGAAGTCTCGGGTGAGCTGATCTCGGACGTTATCGTGCAGTGCCACCGTGGTACATCCAGCTCCGAATCGATGAGCAGCGAGGAGGTAAGGAAGGAGAAAACTCAGTTCTGCTGCCTGGGGCAGCAAAAATCCCGTTTTAAGGCCGAGTCAGATGCGTATGTGTGAAGTGCAACTCCTGCTGCAGTTGGAGGTTTCAATCAGAGATCCAGCTCTCTCCTGTGATGCTTCACTTTCCATCAGCTGAGAGGTTTGACCTCGCTTGATGGGCGCCGGGGGAGAGTGTGAATCTCTGTGGCAGTCTGGCACATCCACCAACCCTGACACTCTGTCTTCATGTAGAGTACGTGCCTGGAGAACAGTGATTGGCATATCTTAGAGAGAAACAAATACAGATAACTCTGGCTCTGTTCCTAAACCCACCCCTCAGCTGAGCACGTAAGCACAGCGTAGCTGAAGAACATTTGTTCTGGTGACATTTTGTCTTCCCTTTTTGAGCTCTGATGTGGTTTTTAAGGTGTGATTTAATGCCCACCCAACCTGTGAATTCCTGCTAGCTCTTTTCAGATCATAGAATCATAGAATCACAGAATGGTTTGGGTTGGAAGGGACCTTAAAGATCATCCAGTTCCAACCCCCTGCCCCGGGCAGGGACACCTCCCACCAGACCAGGTTGCTCCAAGCCCCATCCAGCCTGGCCTTGAACCCCTCCAGGGATGGGGCATCCACAGCTTCTCTGGGCAACCTCTTCCAGTGTCTCACCACCCTCATAGTAAAAAATTTCTTCCTGACATCTAATCTGAATCTTTTTTCTTCCAATTTAAAACCGTTTCCCCTTGTCCTGCCAGTTTCCATTTCTTTTCTGTGAAGTGACACTTGAACCTGGGTGCCTTCACTAACAACACAGCTCTGTGGTGGGTGTTGTGCTTGTGGGAGGTGTCCTTGCCCATGGAGGAGGGGGTGGTTGGAACTAGATGACCTTTCGGGTCCCTTCCAACCTAAACCATTCTCTGATTATATTCGGGGAACAAAGATAGTTTCACAAACGAGGTGGCAGAGGATATGGGCAGCTTTTATTTTTGGAAACTGCAAGTGACTAAACGAATAGCTCGAAGCAAAGAGGATTCTGTGGAACCTTCTCTGGGTTTTTGGAGTTGGAAGGGTCCTTCTAGAGATCATCTAGTCCAACTCCCCTGCTGAAGCAGGATTGCCTAGAGCTTGTCAGAGCATGTTACTCAGGACGGCATCCAGGTGGGTCTTGAAGATCTCCAAAGAAGGGGACTCCACACCCTCCCTGGGCAGCCTGTTCCAGGGCTCTGTCACCCTCACCATGAAGAAGTTTTTCCTCGTATTTGAGTGGAACCTCTTCTGTTCCAACTTGTGCCCGTTGCCCCTCGTCCTCTCACTGGGAACCACTGGAAAGAGTCTGGCTCCCTCCTCCTTCAACCCACCCTTTAGATACTTGTCGGCATTGATAAGGTCTCCCCTCAGCCTTCTCTTCTCCAGGCTCAAGAGCCCCAGCTCTCTCAGCCTTTCCTCATCAGGGAGATGCTCCAATCCCTCCATCATCTTTGTTGCCTTACACTGGACCCTCTCCAGCAGTTCCCTGTCTCTCTGGAACTGGGGAGCCCAGCACTGGAGGCAGGATTCCAGTTGTGGCCTCCCCAGTGCAGAGCAGAGGGGGAGAATGACCTCCCTTGACCTCCTGGCCACACTCTTCCCTACGCAGCCCAGGATCCCATTGGCCTCTTGGCCACAAGAGCACACTGTTTGCTCATTGTCATTTTGCTGTCCACCAGGACCCCTAGATCTTTCTCTTCAGAAGTTGTCTCCAGCAGGTCCACCCCTAACCTGTATTGGTGCCTGACATTCTTCTTCCCCAGGTGCAGGAACCTACACTTTTCCCTGTTGAACCTCATGAGGTTCTTCCTCGCCCAGCTCTCCAGCCTGTCCAAGTCCTGCTGGATGGCAGCACAGCCCTCCGGGGTGTCAACCACCCCTCCCATGGAGAGGGTTTACACTGTAGCTTTGCTCCATGAGATTTGCTCTGTTTTGATCTGTTACAGCCAACTGCTTTCTGCAGAAGTGTGGTGGAAGTCTCTGGTGAGCTCATCTCGGACGTTATCGTGCAGTGCCACCGTGGTACATCCAGCTCCGAATCGATGAGCAGCGAGGAGGTAAGGAAGGAGAAAACTCAGTTCTGCTGCCTGGGGCAGCAAAAATCCCGTTTTAAGGCCGAGTCAGATGCATATGTGTGAAGTGCAACTCCTGTTGCAGTTGGAGGTTTCAATCAGAGATCCATCTCTCTCCTGTGATGCTTCTCTTTCCATCAGCTGAGAGGTTTGACCTCGCTTGATGGGCGCCGGGGGAGAGTGTGAATCTGTCTGGCACATCCACCAACCCTGACACTCTGTCTTCATGTAGAGTACGTGCCTGGAGACCAGTGATTGGCATATCTTAGAGAGAAACAAATACAGATGACTCTGGCTCTGTTCCTAAACCCACCCCTCAGCTGAGCACGTAAGCACAGCGTAGCTGAAGAACATTTGTTCTGGTGACATTTTGTCTTCCCTTTTTGAGCTCTGATGTGGTTTTTAAGGTGTGATTTAATGCCGACCCAACCTGCGAATTCCTGCTAGCTCTTTTCAGATCATAGAATCATAGAATCACAGAATGGTTTGGGTTGGAAGGGACCTTAAAGATCATCCAGTTCCAACCCCCTGCCCCGGGCAGGGACACCTCCCACCAGACCAGGTTGCTCCAAGCCCCATCCAGCCTGGCCTTGAACCCCTCCAGGGATGGGGCATCCACAGCTTCTCTGGGCAACTGGTTTCCATTTCTTTTCTGTGAGCTGACACTTGAACCTGGGTGCCTGCACTAACAACACAGCTCTGTGGTGGGTGTTGTGCTTGTGGGAGGTGTCCTTGCCCATGGAGGAGGGGGTGGTTGGAACTAGATGACCTTTCGGGTCCCTTCCAACCTAAACCATTCTCTGATTATATTCGGGGAACAAAGATAGTTTCACAAACAAGGTGGCAGATGATATGGGCAGCTTTTATTTTTGGAAGCTGCAAGTGACTAAACGAATAGCTCGAAGCAAAGAGGATTCTGTGGAACCTTCTCTGGGTTTGAATTCCCAAATTAGCTAGCAATTATTTTGTGGTGGTGTTCAGAATCTCTATTCAGAGGGAGCTTGTGAATGCACCACAGGAAGCCTTGGTTTGCAGAACAGGAAGACTGCACGTGAAGTACTGAAACGTGTAACGTAGTCTTGGATGTTCAGTCTCTCCTCGGTGGGATAACCCTAACTCTTGATTAATAGGGCACTTGGTATCAACACCTGCTTTTAAAAGCAGGCGTCTTCCTGCAAGTCGTCATTAACCAGCACTTAAAATTCAGTATTGCTGCCAATATTCCTGCTGGGGAATGTATTTTCTGCAATGTCGTGCTGGGTTTGGCTGTGGTAGAATTTATTTTCTTCATAGTAGCAAATAGGGGGCTATGTTTTGTATTTGTACTGGAGACACGGTTGTTGACACAGGGATGTTGTAGTTAATCCTGAGCTGTGGGGAGGAGGCACAGCTGGGACAGCTGACCCTGGGTGACTAAAGGGATATTCATAGAATCATAGAATCATCTAGGTTGGAAGGGATGATCTAGTCCAAGATGATCTAGTCCAATCATCAACCTAACTCTGATAAAAAAACATCACTAAACCATGTCCCCCAGCACCATATCAACCCGTCTTTTGAACACCTCCAGGGATGGGGCCTCAACCACCTCCCTGGGCAGCCCATTCCAAGGCTTAAGAACCCTTTCCATGTAAAAATTTTTCCTAATCTCCAACCTGAACCTCCCCTGGTGCAACTTGAGGCCATTTCCTCTTGTCCCATCGCCTGTTCCTTGGGAGAAGAGACCGACCCCCCCTGGCTACCCCCTCCTTTCAGGTAGTTGTAGAGAGCAATAAGGTCTCCCCTCAGCCTCCTCTTCTCCAGGCTGAACACCCCCAGCTCCCTCAGCCTCTCCTCACAAGACTTGTTCTCCAGACCCCTCACCAGCTCCGTTCCCCTTCTCTGGACCCGCTCCAGCACCTCAATGTCTTGTTTTTTGGTGAGGCGCCCAAAACTGGACACAACCCTCGAGGTGAGGCCTCATCAGTGCCCGGTCCAGAGGGATCATCACCTCCCGAGTCCTCCTCCCCACGCTGTTCCTGATCCAGGCCAGGATGCTGGTGGCCTTCTTGGCCACCTGGGCACACTGCTGGCTCATGTTCAGCCGACAGGAGCCACCTACCATATCATGTCACGCTCAACATATAGAGCTGGGGGGAGAAGGAGGAAGCAGGGGGACATTAGGAGTTGCCACGTTTTGTCTTCCCAAGTAACAAGTACACACAATGGAGCCCTGATTTCCTGGAAATGGCTGAACACCTGCCTATGGGAAGTGGTGAATGAAGAGTGAATGAATAGAAGGAAATCCTAAAGGCCCAGGAGAGGGCTGTCTCCATGGGCTGAGAGACGAGCTGGCGGGGAAGAAGGCTGCCCTGACTGAACAGAGAGCTTTGGCTGGCACTCAGGGTTAAAAAGAGAGTTTATGACCTTTGGAAGAAGGGGCAAGCACCTCAGGAGGACCGCAATGAGGTTGTGAGGTTATGCAGGGAGAAAATTAGGAGAGCCAAGGCCCAACTAGAACTTAATCTGGCCTCAAGTTGCACCGGGGGAGGTTTAGATTGGATGTTAGGAAAAATGTCTTCACTGAAAGGGTTATCAAGCATTGGAACAGGCTGCCCAGGGAAGTGACTGTGTCACACCATCCCTGGAGGTGTTTAAAAGACATGTAGATGTGGTGCTGAGGGACATGGTTTAGTGGTGGTCTTGGCAGTGCTAGGTTAACAGTTGGACTTGATGATCTTAAACGTCTCTTCCAACCTAAACAATTCTATGATTCTATCATTCTGTAAATCCCTTGTTTTGCTTTGCTCCCCTGCGTGGCTTTTGCTTTATTTATTAAACTGTCTTTATCTCAGCCCGTGAGTTTTCTCACTTTTACCGTTACCGGGATAGAGACCAACAAAAGAAGAGTGTAGAGAGCTTTTAAAAGAGTAGTTGGGGATAAATGAGTCAAAGAGGTGCCCTGAGTGACTGCAGCAGACTGACTCTGCTCTCCAGGCTGTATCCACACCACAGCAAGGTCAGGCAAGGTATTAAGTACTAAAGATGTTGAGCTGAGAGTCTACCTGCAACTGCAGACTTCCTTAGCAACACCACAGCTTTGAGATACCATCAGCAGTAATCTTATTTTCAGATCAATTAGTAAGTTTGAATAATAATAATAATAAGTTTAATAATAAGAAGTTCAAAGTTACTTCAGTGATCACATAGTACCTGAGGAAATGAAGGAGAGGCGGACTTCTTGGCAGATGAGCTTTTTAAAGAAAATTCTTTGATTTACAGATAATGCGTATGCCGATCATGAACCCCAACAGGAGAGGCAGCAGTCACAGAGAAGGTAAGCGTTTCTGCTGTGCTCGACTGTTCTGGCAGATGACTCTGCCCCACCTGGAGCACTGTGTCCATCTTTGGAGTCCTCAACACAGGAAAGACATGGACCTGTTGGAACGGGTCCAGCAGAGGGCCACCAAGTTTTCACACTTTTACCGTTACTGGGATAGAGACCAACAAAAGAAGAGTGTAGAGAGCTTTTAAAAGAGTAGTTGGGGATAAATGAGTCAAAGAGGTGCCCTGAGTGACTGCAGCAGACTGACTCTGCTCTCCAGGCTGTATCCACACCACAGCAAGGTCAGGCAAGGTATTAAGTACTAAAGATGTTGAGCTGAGAGTCTGCCTGCAACTGCAGGCTTCCTTAGCAACACCACAGCTTTGAGATACCATCAGCAGTAATCTTATTTTCAGATCAATTAGTAAGTTTGAATAATAATAATAATAAGTTTAATGATAATAAGTTCAAAGTTACTTCAGTGATCACATAGTACCTGAGGAAATGAAGGAGAGGCGGACTTCTTGGCAGATGAGCTTTTTAAAGAAAATTCTTTGATTTACAGATAATGCGTATGCCGATCATGAACCCCAACAGGAGAGGCAGCAGTCGCAGAGAAGGTAAGCATTTCTGCTGTGCTCGACTGTTCTGGCAGATGACTCTGCCCCACCTGGAGCACTGTGTCCATCTTTGGAGTCCTCAACACAGGAAAGACATGGACCTGTTGGAACGGGTCCAGCAGAGGGCCACCAAGATGCTCAGAGGGCTGGAGCACCTCTCCTATGAAGGCAGGCTGAGGGAGCTGGGGTTGTTCAGCCTGGAGAAGAGAAGGCTCCGGGGAGACCTCAGAGCAGCCTTCCAATATCTGAAGGGAGCCTGTAGAAGAGCTGGAGAAGGACTCTTTGCCAGGAAGTGTAGTGATAGGACAAGGGGAAACGGTTTTAAATTGAAAGAAAAAAGATTCAGATTAGATCTCAGGAAGAAATTTTTTTACTATGAGGGTGGTGAGACACTGGAACAGGTTGCCCAGAGAAGCTGTGGCTGCCCCATCCCTGGAGGGGTTCAAGGCCAGGCTGGATGTGGCCTTGAGCAACCTGCTCTGGTGGGAGGTGTCCCTGCCCAGGGCAGGGGGGTTGGAACTCCATGATCTTTGAGGTCCCTTCCAACCCAAACCATTCTATGATTCTATGATCTGTTTGGGTCACCTGAAAGTCATCTGTCTGAGGGAGAAGAAAACAGGGAAGACTGGCAGTTTGCTTGGGTCATGGCCAGCTTTTTTGTTTGCTGTGCAGAGGGGTGTGGGATGGAGGGGGCTGTGAGGGCTTGGAAGCGGGGCAATGCTGAGGTTTGTAGACTCGGTGTAAACATCTTCTGGATTTCCAGGTTTGTCCTTTCATAACCAGTATGTGTGTGCGTCCTTGAGAAATGTCTGAAAGCATAGAACACTCATGTATGTCTCTCCTTTTTTATTTCTTTTTTTTTTTTTAAAAAAGATGTATTTTCTCCTGAAACCTTCCGTTCAAGGCGAAGAGGCAGCAGCGGTGGAGACTGGCGTAAACCCAGTTATTTCAGCTCTGACAGGATTGAATAATATGGATTGGGTGAGTACAGTTCAAAGGGTTGCTTTCATGCACCCCAGGTCTGCAGGCTTTGTGGCAGGGTGGGAAAGTGACTGCTCAGGATGAAGGACCTCATTGGGGACGAGCATTTTACTGTGGGCATTTGTAGAACTTTCTTATGGGGACAAATCTTTGACATAGTACAAATGGCACTATCAGCACCCTCAGCAAACAGTGAGGGGGTGGCCATCTCTGGTGCTTCAGGGAGGACTCACAGAACAGGGGTTTGACCAGTTGTCAAGGCAGCAGAAGACGTTTTGATTTTCCTCTTGTTGCTTCACTCCTAGGAAGAATTCCCAACTACAGAGCTCACAGCTTTCACTCACTCTTGAGCAGTCCATCCCACATGCTCATGTAAACACCAGTGTCCTGGTGTGCAGGTAGTGTGAATGGTGTGCAAGAATCACAGAGTCACATGGGATTGGAAGGGACCTCTGGAGATCATCTAGTCCAACCCCCTGCCAAAGCAGGGCCACCCAGAGCAGGTCCCACAGGAACGTGTCCAGGTGGGGTTGGAATGTCTCCAGAGAAGGAGCCTCCACCCCCTCCCTGGGCAGCCTCTGCCAGGGCTCTGCCACCCTCATAGGAAAGAAGTTCCTCCTCATGTTGAGGTGGAACTTCTTCTATTCAAGTTTGTGCCCATTTCCTCTTGTCCTGTCCCTGGGCACCACTGAAAAAAGACCAGCCCCATCCTCTTGACACCCTCCCTTGAAGTATTTATCTGCATTGATCAGATCCCCCCTCAGCCTTCTCTTCTCCAGGCTCAAGAGCCCCAGCTCTCTCAGCCTTTCCTCATCAGGGAGATGCTCCAATCCCTCCATCATCTCTGTTGCCCTACGCTGGACTCTCTCCAGCAGTTCCCTGTCTCTCTTGAACTGGGGAGCCCAGCACTGGAGGCAGGATTCCAGTTGTGGCCTCCCCAGTGCAGAGCAGAGGGGGAGAATGACCTCCCTCCACCTCCTGGCCACACTCTTCCCTACGCAGCCCAGGATCCCATTGGCCTCTTGGCCACAAGGGCACATTGCTGGCTCATGGATAGTGTGCTATCTACGATGTTTGGAGCTCAATTAATGGGAAGAATAATGACAGGCACTCATTAAAGGCAAGGCCTATCCTAAACAAACCACCTTTGCTGACCTTCTGAAGAGGTTCTATGTAGGAGCAGCTCTAACAGCTGCTGACGTTTTACCTGCTGTCTCACAGAGTTAATATAAAGGGAAGTGGTTTTGGAAGAGTTTTAGCAACGCAGAACGGAGATCATTTTTTGGCACTCTAAACAGTTTTAAAGTGGTTGGGAAAGGAAGAGGAAATTGCTCAGTGCTGTGTCTTCGTGATTAAAAATGTTTTGCACACTTGCTTGAGTACATATCGTTAGCGCCTCTCTGTCCTTGTAGAGAGCACCCAAACTGAAGAGTAGCTCAGCTCAGGCCTGCAGCGTTGGAAACAAGGCAGTTTTAGAGGTAATTTAGCACTGATGACTCACCAAAAACTAACACATGTTACTCATAAGCATATCCTTGGTAAACCTCTATGTGATGAAGGAGACTTACCCCCTGCTCTTCTAGAAACTAGATACGAAAGGCAAACCCAGCCATTCTGCTGGGTCAGGTCTGTGTTTGCAAAGATGATTTTATTGAATCCATATGCTCTTTTAGTTAATCCGTGAGCCAGTAAAGGTGATAGGCTGTTTTAATCACTGCCTCTCCTCTTATAGGAATCTCTAACTTTTCTAAATGTCTTTGAACTTCCTTGAGCGTGTTGCAGTGGCCTTCTGGTGTGCACTCTGTGTCCTTCTGGGTTAGCTTTAATCCAAGGAGATGGGGTGAAAAGACTGAGGCTCACTGAAGAGTAGCACAAGGTTGACTTTCTGTTCCAAAGAAGAAAGGGAAACATTTTGTGAACGCCTGACCATTGTTGGCTTCTGAGAGAACAAAACTGTCTCAGTCTGGCTGGGTGAATTTAGGTTGAATTTTTCTTCAACTGATCTTCCAGACGAGTTGTGGGGAAGGAGATCTGTGCCCTCAAAATGGTGAGACATCCTTTTCTTGGCATTTGGAAAATGCCAGGTATCTTAAATGAATTATTTGGCTGTCGAGAGGAGCTATCCCCATTAAGGAGTAATCACAAGTGTTTTGTATTCCTGTACCTAACGTCTCACAAATGTCTAAACACAAATATCTAAAACAAGGTGTAAAATCTTCATGATAGAGAACATGAAATAAATGGGGAGAAATTGAGGATTGTAGATACCCTGTGCAGTTTGAGTTTTAATATTTTCTGCTTGCTCTTGAAGATGGGTTGCAACTGCCATGTATGGAGCTGCATTTCATAGCAGTGTCCTGGGTTTTGGATATATCAGGAGATAAAAGGATAATTTAAAGCCCCCTCAAAGTTCCTTGTTTCTCTTGGTTTTATCAATTTGACTTACGTCTTAGTTCTCAATTTCACTTTCAATTTCACTGTATCCAGAGTTAGACGGTTTCATCCGTGGGTTTAATGTGGGACCACACGTATCCAAATTATTTTATTTGGATAAGGGCTGGGGAAAGTTATTCATGGCTTTTTTTTCCTGTGTTTTGGCACCTGTGTGATCGTGGCTGGCATTATTACAAGCCATACTGTGATGGCAGTGTTTGGTGGAGCATGGGAAATATATATATCTGCTGTGTTTTGGGATGGCAGTAGCTCAGCTGGCTTAGCTCAGCTGAGAGTATTTTGGGGGGAGGCTGGGGAAACAGCAATTTAATAATAGAAGACTCTCTTACTCAAAGGACCTGTTGTTGGCTGGCAAAGCTAGACAAGTTTGGGTAAGAAAGAAAATGATTATTCTTTTTTTTTTTACTCAACAGTATGTGTAACTGACTGCTGCAAAAATTGCTATGGCAAGCGGCTGATGGAGTTTTTCATGCTGGATTTTACATTTTCTGAACTGGATCTTCTTATCTTTTTGGCTACAGGAATTATTTGAGGGGGAATCCTGTGCCTGGCTCTGTGTAAGGAGCTAGGCTAAATGATCTCACTGGTGGCTCTTTTTATCTGTTGGAATGTGCTAAATATTCAAGAGGGAAAAAAAAATCAGCGCAATTGTTATATAAAGAACTTTTTTTAAGTCCCCGTGAGCCTGCTGGTGCCTGCAGGAGTTAGCAAACTGCATATGAAAGAAGCCCATCAATGATTAATGAGCTTACTTCAGTCCTAAGTCCTAATCAGATTTGCTGGATTTATTTCCTAGTGCATCTCTGGAACTGGGGGTGGGGGGGGGATTGTAAAATTCACATGTCACGCTGTGGACCAGTCTTCCCCACAAATAGCTCGGGCACAGGAGCAAGTGACAGCAGGAGAGCCACCTGCTTGTTCCACAGCTGAGCACTGGTTGACAACCTCAGCCTGTGACAAGCATTAATCATAGAATCATAGAATTGCCCAGGCCGGAAGGGACCTCCAAAGGTCATCTAGTCCGACCCCCCCGCAGTCAGCAGGGACACCCCCAACTAGACCAGGTTGCCCAGGGCCTCCTCGAGCCTCTCCTTGAATATCTCCAGGGATGGGGCCTCAACCACCTCCTTTTACTCAACAGTATGTGTAACTGACTGCTGCAAAAATTGCTATGGCAAGCGGCTGATGGAGTTTTTCATGCTGGATTTTACATTTTCTGAACTGGATCTTCTTATCTGTTTGGCTACAGGAATTATTTGAGGGGGAATCCTGTGCCTGGCTCTGTGTAAGGAGCTAGGCTAAATGATCTCACTGGTGGCTCTTTTTATCTGTTGGAATGTGCTAAATATTCAAGAGGGAAAAAAAAAATCAGCGCAATTGTTATATAAAGAACTTTTTTTAAGTCCCCGTGAGCCTGCTGGTGCCTGCAGGAGTTAGCAAACTGCATATGAAAGAAGCCCATCAATGATTAATGAGCTTACTTCAGTCCTAAGTCCTAATCAGATTTGCTGGATTTATTTCCTAGTGCATCTCTGGAACTGGGAGGGGGGGGGGATTGTAAAATCCACATGTCACGCTGTGGACCAGTCTTCCCCACAAATAGCTCAGGCACAGGAGCAAGCAAGTGACAGCAAGTTGACAACCTCAGCCTACGACAAGCATTAAGGTCATTAATTAGCTTGGCCTGCAGAACTTGGTGGCACTGTGTCACTCACTGGTGCCAGTCATTAATTAGCTTGGTGGCACTGTGTCACTCACTGGTGCCAGCACACAGGGCATGTCAGAGATGCAGTCAATCCCCCGTTGAAACTCTTGGGGAAGATGGGTTCCTGCTCTGAGAGGACACCGTTGAGCCCACACACAGCATGAAGGACATTTTGAGCCTGCACAATTATGTGGAGTTATGGGTTCCATTAGACTGGAGTGCTCTGAGAGGACACCGTTGAGCCCACACACAGCATGAAGGACATTTTGAGCCTGCACAATTATGTGGAGTTATGGGTTCCATTAGACTGGAGTCTGCTTAATGGTGTTCGTGGCTCTGAATCACAAAGAGGGGCCTAAAACATGGTTCAAACTCACCTGACGCCTTGAAAGCAAAAGAAAAGGGCCCCCGTGCTCTGCTCTTCCAAAATCAACTGCCTAGGGCAGCTGTCTTCTGTGCAGGGTGGAGCCCGACCTATGACTTATGTCTGGAGTCTCCCCAGCATTGCTTCATTTCCTTGAACAGGAAAATTAAGAAGAAAGTTCCTGTCTTTGCTTGCAACATCCACGTAGGCCGTGAGCACCGATTTTTCTCTTGCTGTCACGGATGAAGCAAGGAAAGTGGTTTTTAACAGACAGATTCCTTCTGTATCAAGACAAGGGGCTGTGATTTCCTCCTCAACTTCTCTACATTTTCTTAAAATGACTCTCTGACTGAGTTCTCACCTGGCCTAACTTACTGCTGGTGGGGATGGAGTGGTGGCAGTTGTTGAATAGACAGGCATCTGAGACCCATGACACCAGGAGAGACACTGGAGCTGAGTGAAGCAGCCCAATCTGCTCCCTGTATGACAACCAATGCAACTAAGGAAAGGAGACAGCTGATTGTAGTAGACAACTCTCCTCTGAGAGGTCTGGAAGCATCCATTTTCCAACCTGATGCACTTTCTAGAGAGGTGGGCTGCTTACCGGGGGCTTGGATCAGGGATGTCACCAAGGGTCTACTGAAAGCCTTGTACAGTCCTCTGACTGTTATCCACTGCTGTTGTTTCATGTGGGTACCTGGAAGCATCCATTTTCCAACCTGATGCACTTTCTAGAGAGGTGGGCTGCTTACCGGGGGCTTGGATCAGGGATGTCACCAAGGGTCTACTGAAAGCCTTGTACAGTCCTCTGACTGTTATCCACTGCTGTTGTTTCATGTGGGTACCAGGAGCAGCCTGAGGAACATCAAGAGTGATAGAGCCCTTGGAGCAGTGGTCAGGGACCCTGGAGTGCAGGTAGTTTTTATCATCAATCCTCACAGTCAAAGGGAAGGGGGTTGATAGGGCCAGTTGAACCTGGCAAATCAACAGATGGCTACAGGACTGGTGCCACGGCTGGTTTGGTTACTTAGGCCATGGGACTTGCTTTGAGAACCCTGGTCTACTGGGAGCTGCTGGGGTCCATCTGTCAGAGAAGGGGAAGAGCATCTTTGGTCAGAGGCTCATGAACAGGGCTTTCAACTAGAGTTGCCGAGGGAGGGGAACCTTGTCCATCCCACTCCTACCAGTATGATGCCAATGCCAGTAACAGATGCCCAGACCCTGCAGAATGGTCACAGGTCAGGAGGAGAGCACCTGGAGTGCAGCACCAAGGAATACCAGCCTCTCTAGCCAGTAAGTTGGCTTCATTGGGGACCCAACTTTGCCTCTGTGCAAACACACGTAGGATGGGGAATGAACAGGAGGAGTCAGAGACGTGCACACGCCTGCAGGGTTATGAGCTTATTGGCATCACGGAGACGTGGTGGGATGGCTTCTATGACTGAGGTGTTGGAATGAAAGGATACACGCTCTTCAATTAGGACAGACAGGGGAGAGGAGGAGGAAGAGGTGTTGGTCATCAATGCCCCATTGCCTCCTCCAAGGAGGAGATGTTGCCCGTCAATGACCAGCTGTAGCGCATCAAGCTCCACCTGAGGATGGGTGAAGAGCTGACCTAGAGTTTATGGGTCAGGACTAAAGGGAGGTCAGGATCAGGTGATGTTGGGTGTTGGAATGAAAGGACACACGCTCTTCAGTAAGGACAGGCAGGGGAGAGGAGGAGGAGGAGGAGGAGGAGGTGTTGCCCATCAATGCCCCATTGCCTCCTCCAAGGAGGAGATGTTGCCCGTCAATGACCAGCTGTAGCGCATCAAGCTCCACCTGAGGATGGGTGAAGAGCTGACCTAGAGTTTATGGGTCAGGATTAAAGGGAGGTCAGGATCAGGTGATGTTACACTGGAGGTCTGCTACAGGCCACCTGACCAGGATGACAGAGCAGATGGGGGCCTCTATAGACAGATAGGAGCAGCCTCGGGTTCACAAGCCCTGATTCTCATGGAGAACTTCAGCCACCCTGATGTCTGTTAGAGGCACAACACAGCAGGGCATAAGCAGTCCAGGAGGTTCCTGGAATGCATTGATGATAACTTCTCAAAGTGATAGAAGAGCCAACAAGGAGAAGTGCCATGCTGGCCTTTAATGTCACCAACAAGGAGGGTCTGGTGGGGAATGTGAAACTTAAGGGCAGCCTTGGCTGCAGGAACCATGAAATGGTGGAATTTGAGATCCTTAGGATGGTGAGGAGGGCGCACAATAAGCTTGTCACCATGGACTTCAGGAGAGCAGACTTTGGCCTCTTCAGAGATCTGCTTGATGGAGTACCATGGGATAAAACCCTGGAGGGAAGAGGGGCCCAAGAAATCTGGTTAATGTTTAAGGATCACCTCCTCCAAGCTCAAGAGCGATGCATCCAAACAAAGAGGAAGTCAGGCAAAAAAGCCAGGAGGCCTGCGTGGATGAACGAGGAGCTCCTGGAGGAACTCAAACTCAGAAAGGAAGCCTACAGAGGATGGAAGCCAGGACAGGTAGCCTGGGAGGAATACAGAGACATTGTCTGAGCAGCCAGGGTTCAGGTTGGGCAAGCTAAAGCCGGGAGAGACTCTTTGTCAGGGAATGTAGTGACAGGACAAGGGGTAACGGTTTTGGACTGAAAGAGGGTAGATCTAACTATTAGGAAGTCATTCTTTACTCTTGAAGGTGGTGAGACACTGGAAGAGGTTGCCCAGAGAAGCTGTGGCTGCCCCATCCCTGGAGGGGTTCAAGGCCAGGCTGGATGGGGCTTGGAGCAACCTGGTCTGGTGGGAGGTGTCCCTGCCCAGGGCAGGGGGGTTGGAACTTGATGATGTTTAAGGTATACCCAAGAAATCCAGGATCCAACCTCCAGAGTGAAATGGATGCTTTCACCTCCTCCAAGCTCAAGAGCGATGCATCCAAACAAAGAGGAAGTCAGGCAAAAAACTGTAGCAGGGCATCTGCTCGGAGGGGAAGGACTGAAATTCAAACAGATCCAAGCAGGACCTTCCCTGGTGCTCAGTTTGCAGAGCTTGGATGATTCCTTGGACTTCGTTGTGTGTTCAAGGCAGGATTGCGAGCCCCTTTGTCTAATTCCTGGAGAAAACAGGCAAGACTTCACAGCAGGAACGCAAGAGCACCAAGGGCTTTTGGTGGTACGTTTTCCAAGCACTAGAAATAAGCTTGTCAAAGAACCATGGGGGTTGGGAGAGGCCCATGGAAGCTCAACCCCAGCTCAGAGCAGGGCCAGCTCCTCTCTGGGCTCCATGTTCAGTGTTGCAACACTCTGGTGGAAGAGTTTTCCTTAAACAGAGCTGGAATTTTCCATTGTTCCCATTTGTTCCTGTTTCTTCACCCATCACTTGGTGCCCAGTGATGGGTGTAGCTGCTGGTCCTGGTGCTTTGGCCTGCATCCCCCATCTCCAGGACTTGGCAGGACCCAGGCACTCCTGGACCAGCCACTCTCAGAGGGTTGCTCTGTCTATCTCTACCACGTGTGTGGACACTTCTTTCTGGCACAAATCTATCCCTAGCAAGATTTGCAAGACTTCACTGCAGGAACGCAAGAACACAAAGGGCTCTTGGTGGTACGTTTTCCAAGCACTAGAAATAAGCTTGTCAAAGAACCATGGGGGTTGGGAGAGGCCCATGGAAGCTCAACCCCAGCTCAGAGCTGGGCCAGCTCCTCTCTGGGCTCCACATTCAGTATTGCAACACTCTAGTGGAGGAGTTTTCCTTAAACAGAGCTGGAATTTTCCATTGTTCCCACTTCTTCCTGTTTCTTCACCCATCACTTGGTGCCCAGTGATGGGTGTAGCTGCTGGTCCTGGTGCTTTGGCCTGCATCCCCCATCTCCAGGGCTTGGTAGGACCCAGGCACTCCTGGACCAGCCACTCTCAGAGGGTGGCTATGTCTATCTCTACCACGTGTGTGGACACTTCTTTCTGGCACAAATCTATCCCTGAAGTTTCACTAAGAAAATTGTCTTAGAGAAAAATTTCAGGTTGCCATGGTGACCAATTCACGGAAGACACAGCGTAGGCTACAGACTCCTGTGGAGCAGTCACATGGTCCCTTAGAAAAACCTATCATCTCCAATTTCTGGTGCATATTGTACCTCTTTATTCAGCTCCATTTCTCAGAAGACTGTTCTCCAGCTTATAGCCTCAACCATCTCTGCTTTGGAGACCTTGCCATACGCGTTGATTTGTATCCAGTGTTGCTTATTTCACTCTTGATAATTTTTCAAGCCGTCTGCTTCTTTTCCTTTTCTTTTTTTTTTTACACTAATTAGCAACTGACATGACGTTTGTGTACACGAAGCTTTTTTGCATATGCAGCTTTCTTTTTACAGATTCCTCATGGTGCAATCCTGACACTAAACCAATCCATAAGCAGCTCGGTGAAGCCGAATACGTTTTTTCCAAGGTCATGGATGTTTGGCTAGTTCTGGGAAGTACGAGACAAATTTTGAGCTATGACATTTCTCCTCCTTCCCTTTTTTTTTTTTAAAGGAGAAGAAATCAAGATTCGAAGATCCAGAACCGTGAAGAAAGGACCTGATGCCATCTCCTTTTTTGTGGAAAACTACTCTGTAACGAAGTGACAGTCTTTCCCTAAAATTGCTTTCTGCTGTGATGTCAAGTGACCATTGGATGAGCTCATGATGATGCTAACTGCCTGCTCTTCTCAGTCGATAGCTGCCTTGGGATGTGTTAGAGCTTACTGGGAGGACTTGTCCCAGACACCTAGAGTAACTGTGTCCAGTAGGTGTTGTGCCACCCTCCTAACGATGCTATTAAAGGATGGTTATCCCATCTGTTTGGTCTGCGTTGGTCTCTGGTTGCTTGTAATTCTCTGTAGCTCTTGTAGCTGGTTATTGATTCATTCAGAGTAATAAAGGCACTTAATTCCTTTTTCTCTGGAGCGCAGCAGCTGTGGACAAGGTGTCTTGCTACAACTCCAGAGGTGTGAGTTTTAACCCAACAGTAATCTTGCTTTAGTGGGTACTTGGCCACTAAGGCCAATGGTATCTTGGGTTGTATAGGGAAGAGTGTAGCCAGCAGGTCAAGGGAAGTCATTCTCCCCCTCTGCTCTGCACTGGGGAGGCCACAACTGGAGTACTGTGTCCAGTTCTGGGCTCCCCAGTTCAAGAGGGACAGGGAACTACTAGAAAGAGAACAGCGAAGGGCAACAAAGATGATTCAAGGATTGGAGCATCTCCCTGATGAGGAGAGACTGAGAGAGCTGGGACTCTAATGGATGAGCTCATGAGATGCTTAACTACCTGCTCTTCTCAGTCGATAGCTGCTTTTGGATGTGTTAGAGCTTACTGGGAGGACTTGTCCCAGACACCTAGAGTAACTGTGTCCAGTAGGTGTTGTGCCACCCTCCTAACGATGCTATTAAAGGATGGTTATCCCATCTGTTTGGTCTGCGTTGGTCTCTGGTTGCTTGTAATTCTCTGTAAGGCTTGTAGCTGGTTATTGATTCATTCAAAGTAATAAAGCACTTAATTCCTTTTTCTCTGGAGCACAGCAGCTGTGGACAAGGTGTCTTGCTCCAGCTCCAGAGGTGTGAGTTTTAACCCACCAGTAATCTTGCTTTAGTGGGTACTTGGCCACTAATGTGGGGGGCTGAGGGGTGCCAGTGATTGTCAGGTACTAATGCCTTTTGGAACAAGGCTAGATCAGGACAGACCTTTGATGTCCTCTTCTGTGAAATACCTCTTTTTGGTCTTGTCCCTATCTCTCCACCCCACGTAACCCAGTCCGTCCTTTGGGAGAGGAAAGTTTGTGGGAGGGTGGGATGGAGTTTTGTTTGGTTTTTGGGGTGTTTTTTTTAAGGCTTTACCATCAAGTTTGCTTTTTGGTTACAGTTAGGATGCCAGCTGGTGTTATGGCTGTGCTTCTGTGGACATATTTTCAGCCATTGGAATGGGCTGCCCAGGGAGGTGGTTGAGGCCCCATCCCTGGAGGTGTTCAAAAGACGGGTTGATGTAGTGCTGGGAGGTCTGGTTTAGTGATGATGCTCCTTGTTTGTTGTGTGGGTGTCTATTTTTGTCAGTGAGGTTGACGGTTGGACAAGATGATCTTGAAGGTCCCTTCCAACCTAGAAGATTCTGTGATTCTGTGATATAGTGCAGATGTGGCCTGATAAGACACTGGACATGGGCAAGTCAATTGTAAACAGGCAACAGAAAACTGTTCCTGCAGAAGCAGTCATGTAGGGAAGTCTTTTGTACGTAGTGAAGGTCCTGAGGAGGTGTTTTGGATGGAGTTGGGCTACCAGCTGAAGGTTCACCTCTATGCTGGGCTGGTCGTGCAGGGGGCTGGATCAGCAGGTTTAGAAGGAACAAGCAGCCCTGAGGTCGTGCTGCAGACCCTGCTTCAAACTGTGTTCTGGAGACTCTTACTGCAGCCAGACTGTTGGGGAGATTGGATTCCCTGTGTGGTTCCCCATGCCGAGATCATAGAACCATAGAATGGTTTGGGTTGGAAGGGACCTCAAAGATCATCTAGTTCCAACCCCCCTGCCCTGGGCAGGGACACCTCCCACCAGACCAGGTTGCTCCAAGCCCCATCCAGCCTGGCCTTGAACCCCTCCAGGGATGGGGCAGCCACAACTTTTTGGCACCTTCCACTTCCTTCTACCCTCTGCTGCTGCTGCTAGGGGTGATCATCAAGGGCTCCTCTGACTGGGTGCTTCCACATTTATGGGATAGAAACCCCCACAAATCAGAGATCACCCTGCTGCAGTCAGTAAGGAAAATTAACTCTGAGTCAAACCGGATGGGAGAGTTGCTTTAAAGAGAAAAAATCAGTGGATTTGGACAGGATGAGACGCAGATCAGCTGCATAACTGATAGGGAGCCAACAATCAATTCTGCAGCTCCTACGAGCAAGAAAAACAGCCGAGGACGAGGGAGTGCAGCAGGGAAACTGCAAACCCAGCCAGTGCGCCGTGCGACGGGAGGGAACAGGGATGGAAACAGATCTTAAAACCCAGCTGATGCTTCTTCCTAAAGGACATGATATTATGGCCACGTGTTTTAAAGATTTCGTCAGCACGAAATGCCACTGTTGTGTTCCAGCTCATTTTACCATTTTCTGTCTCTGAAAATTCACTCGTTGCTTCGACCCGGTTTGGCACAAAGCCGTCATGGTGGAAATCTTCCACCTGGATCTCCAGTGTTCAGGCAAACGGGCACCTCCTTCCCATGCCAGAAAAGCAGAGCTGGAAACAGAGAATGGAAGACGTAGAGAAAGACGGTGAGAAAAACGCGTTTGATCCCCAAACTGCAAACTCCTCAACCTGGTTTATTTCCATGAAAACCATGCTTCATAGGGCAGGTGGTAAGAGGACAACTGTTTCATTGGGAGCACCTCTGCTATGAAGACAGGCTGAGGGAGCTGGGATTGTTCAGCCTGGAGAAGAGAAGGCTCCGGGGAGACCTTATAGCGGCCTTTCAATACCTGAAGGGAGCCTTTAGAAGAGCTGAGGAGGGACTCTTTGCCAGGAAGGGTAATGATAGGACAAGGGGAAACGGTTTTAAATTGGAAGAAAAAAGATTCAGATTAGATCTCAGGAAGAAATTCTTTGCTGTGAGGGTGGTGAGGCCTTGAATCCTTCCAGGGATGTAGCTTGTCTGCAGGCAAGCACCACTGTAGTTGGTGAGGTGGTTGAGGGGTCTTGCCTCAACCATTGAGGCTGAGGGGGGACCACATTGCCCTCTACAACTCCCTCAAAGGAGGGTATAGAGAGGTGGGGGTTGGCCTCTTCTCCCAAGGGAATCATTCCAGGAGCAGAGGGAATGGTCTGAAGTTGGGGCAGGGGAGATTTAGATGAGATATCGGGAAGAATGACTTTCCTGAGAGGGTGGTCAGGCACTGGAACAGCCTGCCCAGGGAGGTGGTGGAGTCACCATCCCTGGAGGGATTGAAGAACTGTGTAGAGGTGGCACTTCAGGGCATGCTCTAGTGCCTGAGATTGTTGGGTTGAGTGTTTATTTGTGTGTGTGTGTGTGATTGGACTCAATGATCTCAAAGGTCCCTTCCACCCATGAAGATTCTGTGATTCTGTAGCACATGCATGGGCTGTAACGTCTCCTTTTGATAGATGTCATGAAAGTAATGAAAGGCCAGCCCTCTCCAGTATACATGGGACACCTATAGGCTAATAACATGTGCACTTCTCTAAAAAGAAGCAAAGAAACCACTTTATTTCTTTCCCCCCAGCAAAATGGATGAGAGGTACTTTAAGCATGTAATACAAACACCTTCACACCTGGAAGCTGATGTGGCAGATGCTGTGCAGATGTTTATCTGGCACTGGGGAGTAATGTTTTCTTTGTCCACAATTACTCAAGTCTTTTGTGGTCTCAAATCGCTGACTCAAGCACTCGTTGCTCCACCATACCAACGACAGCTGCTACAGATGTTCCCTTCCAACTCCCACCTCTGAGAGTTTGGTCTGAAATACCACACAGGCGTGTCCAACAGCAAATCTCTGCCTCCCTCGGTGGTTTTGACTTCTCCATTCACGTGCTATGTTCACCTTGGCCACCCTCCCCAAGCTGTTAGATACCAGGAAGCAATTCTTTGCTGTGAGGGTGGTGAGGCACTGGAACAGGTTGCCCAGAGAAGCTGTGGCTGCCCCATCCCTGGAGGGGTTCAAGACCAGGCTGGATGGGGCTTGGAGCAACCTGGTCTGGTGGGAGGTGTCCCCGCCCAGGGAGGGAATGGGCTGCCCAGGGAGGTGGTTGAGGCACCATCCCTGGAGGTGTTCAAAAGCCGGGTTGATGTAGTGCTGGGAGGTCTGGTTTAGTGATGATGCTTCTTGTTTGTTGTGTGGGTGTCTATTTTTGTCAGTGAGGTTGATGGTTGGACAAGATGATCTTGAAGGTCCCTTCCAACCTAGAAGATTCTGTGATTCTGTGACTTTATGGCTGTTTGAGCCTTGCCTCACCAGAGGGTAAAAAAATGTAGTCACCCTTTCAATGCAGAGCTTCTGCAGCGGTTGTAGGATGAGGAAAGGAGCCAGGACTGATGTTGATTTGGACTCGTACAATGAGTAGGAGTGACTGTGGCTTCCTGCTGTCGCTGGGGCAGTGTCAGGAGATCTGTCCCTGGACACAGCCAGCATGTCCTATGCAGACCTTCAGCACCTCGCTTTGTCCCCATGGAAGGAGGGAAACTGCTGACTTTTTACTCTCTATGAAAAGGTAGTAAAACCTGCATTCATGGCAGAAATAATCTTTTTATATTCATTTTCTCTTTGTACACCCCAACACTTTTTTTATGCTGACAGTGTCTGAGCAGGAATTCCCATGATGTGGTATGGATGAAGGACACCACCACACAGCGATGTTGCAGAAAAACTGGGCTCTTTTTGCCCTTCAGTCAACACTTGGTGAAACATGCTGGTATTTGGGCTCTAGGGTGCCACAGCATTTCTTTTCTCAGACCTTCTCTTTCCCATCATGCCATAGAGGCTCAGTGACAATTGTTGCAGATGGTAATTGACATGGTGCCACCATGGGAAGTGTGCTGGGGCATTGGTAGCCCCAGAGTGATTCTGTTCTCTTGGGTGAGCTGGGTGATGGGGGGAATTACCAGCAACTTAGAGGGGGCTCAGTGAGAACCCACCTCTCCAGCCTGTCCAGGTCCCTCTGGATGCCATCCCTTCCCTCCAGCGTGTTGACCGCACCACCGAGTTTGGTGTCATCGGCAAACTTGCTGAGGGTGCACTCTATCCCACTGTCCATGTCTCCAATGAAGATGTTGAACAGCACTGGTCCCAGTATAGACCCCTGAGGAACACC